TGTATTTTAGTCTTTTCAATGTTTTCTTGCTTTTATCTTGTATTGTTTTTGTATTATTGTCTTTTGGGTATTATTGTCTTCACATTTGTTAAAGCACTTTGTAACTTGTTTTTGAAAAGTGCTCTACAATTAAAGATGATTATTATTATTATTATTATTATTATTATTATTATTACTACATAAAGATGGCCTAGGCATTAAGAAGATTGCCAAGACCATGAAACAGAGCTGCAGCACGTTGGCCAAGACCATACAGCGGTTCAACAGTACAGGTTCCACTCATAACAGGCTTCGCCATGGTCAACCAAAGAAGTTTGGTGTACATGCTTAGCAGTCATATCCAGAGGTTGTCTTTGGGAAATAGACGTGCTGCCAGCATTGTTGCAGAGGTTGAAGGGGTGGGGGGTCAGCCTGTCAGTGCTCAGACCATACGCCGCACACTGCATCAAATTGTTCTGCATGGCTGTCGTCCCAGAAGGAAGCCTCTTCTAAAGATGATGCAGACAAGCAGATTGAGGACATGGATTACTGGAACCATGTCCTGTGGTCTGATGAGACCAAGATAAACTTGTTTGGTTTAGATGGTGTCAAGCGTGTGTAGCGGCAACCAGCTGAGGAGTACAAAGACAAGTGTCTCTTGCCTACAGTCAAGCATGGTGGTGGGGGTGTCATGGTCTGGGGCTGCATGAGTGCTGCCGGCACTGGGGAGCTACAGTTCACTGAGGGAACCATGATGCCAACATGTGCTGTGACATACTGAAGCAGAGAATCATCCCATCCCTTCGGACACTGGGCCACAGGGCAGTATTCCAACATGAGAACGACCCCTAACATCCACCAGCTCCGGGATGTCGTCATGGAGGAGTGGAAGTGGACTCCAGTGGCAACCTGTGAAGCTCTGGTGAACTCCATGTCCAAGAGGGTTAAGGCAGTGCTAGAAAATAATCGTGGCCACACAAAATATTGACACTTTGGACCCACTTCAGATATTTTCACTTGGGGGACACCACGGTATATAATATATAAGATATACACTTGGTCACATATACATATCTTGCTTTTATGTATTAATCTTACACCCTTATATTTCTTTACTCCCAAGCTCCCCTCCTGGGCCTGTGCCATCAAAACCAAGAAACCAGGCTTGGCAGACCAAGGCAGTGTGTTAGAGTTCTTGATTTCATCTCCAGTCCACTCCCCAGTGTCCTACTGTCTATACCCTGAAGATGGGCTGCTTTTATTAGGCACCGAAGATTATACCAGTTATACCACCACACGCTTGGAGGCCTGCAACCAAGTGAGAACACTTGACATATAAGATGCATTCAAGTGTCTACTGATAAAGCTGTTTTGGCAACTAGCCATCAGAGACAAAAAACCTCAAAAGTACATGCTTTGTCATATATTTCTACATACACCTAACTTTCTAAGACTTATTTCAAGATCATTTAACACTTAGTAGCATCTAATCGTTACATTTCTAGACCAGTCTCTCTGCCACTCCTTTGTAGGATGGTACCTTGGTGCCGGTGACACTGTTTCATACAGTACCTGTGGAAAGTTTGAGACAGACCCCACTACTAGTCCATGTCTACGGAGCTTATGGCAGAGATCTCAACATGGAGTTCTGCCCAGAAAAAAGGCTGCTGCTGGAGCAAGGCTGGGCTCTGGCCTACTGCCACATCAGGTAACGTATCAAAACAAGTCGATGTTCTGCAGCAGGAAATTGCTGTGAAATGTGTGTAGAGGCCTGAAGTGATCTGTGCTCTTTACCTTTACACCCCTTAGAGGTGGAGGAGAGCGGGGTCTGTCCTGGCAAAGACAAGCTCGTGTGGAGGGTAAGCAGAGAGGAGTGGAGGACCTCAAAGCCTGTCTCCATCACCTTTTCTCTTTAGGAGTCTCCTCTCCTTTGCTCACTGCCCTTACAGCCTGCAGTGCCGGAGCTGTGCCAGTGGGAGCGCTGTGCAACAGACACCCACACATGATGCGGGCTGTCACGCTGCAGGTATCATGTTAAATAATTGTTTGTGTGCTTGCGTCTTAGAATGTTGCTTTCAGAGTTTTTCTGTCTAAAGAGCAAGAATATTAGGGACTCTGTGTCTACCTCATGGACACTTTAACAGAGCAGATATTTGTAAGGGTTTGATGGATAGTCTCCCTACTTGTTACAAGACAGTGCCTCACATAAGAGATAACTTAAAACACAGACAGTTCCCAAGTCATCCCTTTTCTTGTGTTCAGGCTCCTTTCCTGGATGTGTTGGGAACTATGGAGGATCCCAGTTTGCCTCTAACTTTGGAGGATAGAGAAGAATGGGGGGACCCAGTAAGAAACCCACAACACAGACTCACCATCTCCTCCTACTGTCCCCTTTACAACATTACTCCTCAGGTATGCAGAAGGAGGAAGAAAGGGAAAAAATGTAGACGCTTTTTTTTTTTTTTCATGCATTGGCTTTCTTTATTCAGTTCACTGCATACTTTAAAAGTTTCCCTTTCTATTGAATGGAGGATGCATTTTGGCATGTGCTTTTTCCAGGTATCTCTACTGTGACGAAGATTCTATTATGTGATTACCATGTAGTTTAGTTTGCTCTGCAATGTAAATTGGCCTGTTCTGGTGGGTTAACTCAGACTACGTTGAAAACCCATGGCCCACATTTTGGTCCAGAGTGTGTGTTTGAATAGCACTTGTTTCTATTAGTGATTTTCTGTCTCTCTCTGAAAACAAGAACATCTGTCCAACACAGGACCAGGAGCTCTCCTTGTTAAGTCACATGTCCCGCTGAGAGATTATTTTTAATGAGAATGCACTGAAAGCTTTAGAATTGTTGATTTAGAGACACAGAGCACAATTAATTATAAATAACTTTTACTAAGCACCAAAATGAAACTATAGGTTAACCATCTGTGTGTGTGTGTTTGTGATTGTATGAACTAGTGCTACCCCTCGATTCTGCTGACGGCCTACAGCGGTGATGCCCGGGTTCCTCTGGCAGGTGTTCTCAAATACAACGAGCAGCTAAAGAACGCCATTCATACACACTTCACAATGAAGCCAAAGTCCGGTGCGTGAACACGCAAACTTGCTATCACAACAGCTTAATGACTTGTTGATTATGTTGATGCATATGTGCGCAGCGGTGCGTGCTGTAAATGTGTGTGTTTGTGTACACCTTTCTATGCTCGCATTCCAGCATGGATTTCATGCTTGTTCTACATTCTTTTGGGTGTCATTTCTGCATCATCAGAGGTTTTAATAGTTCAGGGTCAGCTCCCAATAGTAGTGTCAGTGCATGTCTGGAAAGGCATCAATAACAGATGTATTGTTGTCTGTCTGGGGAAACTACTAACAGCATTTGAAGTTCATGGCCAAAGTATAGCGTAGGTCACCTTGGTGTGTGTGTGGGGTGGGGGGGGGGGGGGGGGGGGGGGTGCGTGTGCGAGCGTGTGTGTGAGCGTGAGCTAATTGCTCTCATTTCCCCAGAGACAGGCTTCTTTCTCCCTCTCACTTATATCTGTCTTCACCATATTGGTGGTGGTACTCCTCTTTATACCCCTCTTTCTCTCTAGCACTGCCTCCACTCTTGTCGTTTCAAATGCACACATCATCTCTCTCTTTCACCCTCTCTCACTTTTCTGTTGCTTGTACACACATAAACCAGGCAGCCTAAGTGTCTGTGTGTATATGTCTCCCTAATCTGTCTGTCTATTCTCCAGAGTCTTTGATAAAGTGCTGATGGCATAGACACATGCAGTCGGGTGGGCAGGCCCATTAGCATGGTAAAGAGATAGTGTATCAGAGCAAGAGATTAGACACCACTGACTGGGAGCTGTCAAGGTCAAGACCGCACTTGTGAAACAGCCTGTACCACAGAGACGGGGAGGAGGGATAATATGGAGGGGTTTGAGTAGAGGGAGGGCAATATCAGATGGGAGCACAGATAAAAGAAAAGAGAGTACAGACAGAGTCAGAAGAGAGAGGGAGAGAGATTCTGGCATGGGCATGCAATAAGATAAGAGAAATGTCTGAGAAGACATCTTAAACATGAGGTCTTTTTCTCCCCCATTCTTCCTTTGACCTCTGTCTATCCTTCTTCCTCTTTCTTTAAGAATGTGAACCAGTACCAAACATAGTTCTGAATATCCAACCTGGAGCAAATCACCTTGGACCAGAAGACTTTGATCTTATGCTGGAGGAGGTAATGCCCTCTCCTGCAAGATTGTACGGGTCATAAAGGCATTTCTAACTTTGTCAAAGTATTTTTCTCAAGTTGTGATCCAAAAACATTTGCAGCTAAGGAAAATGAGACAAGTATCTCTATTTATTTTTTTTTGCTCAATAAGTAATTTAGCTTGTTGAAAAATTTTAACTGCTCTTAAATCCACTTAAAATGCACACCTATGCTGACAATGTAAAGACTATTTGTTTTGTTTTCTTACATCTTTAAAATCCAGATTTACTGCCCACCAAAAGTTACATAGAAAATGTTATCAGTTTAAAGAGTCAGTTTACCCAAATAAAAAACATCCCCTTTTACCCCTAAAGGTATCTTGCCATGTGGATAGAAGTTTTTTATTTTCCAAGGTTTTGAGAAACTGATATACAATAGAAGGGGAAAGGACTGTCTATTCTATTTACCACCCAAATGACTTGATTGACTGTAGTACCATGTTAATATAAGTTCAGCAATTACATTAAGTTTTGTCAATTGAGTTGATGGGTACAGAATATATGTCCTCTGTTTTTTCTCCCCGTCACAGGAAGCCCTCAAGCTAGCATTCCTATACACAGAGCTGGGCCTGGACCCTCCTCGGCCTCCACGCAAGAGGAAGAGATAACGAGGCTATCAGTAGACAGTCAGGAATCAAATGACAATGACCACATCATCCAAACATGACAAATATCCACCATCACAGCCACAACAACTAGGATGACACAATGGGGCCCAAATCTTTAACAATTTGAGAAGACAACATTGAATGTACATCAACAGTGAATGTATCTGCAATGGTCCTCTTTATTGATATACATCTTATGACAAGTCACTTACAGATGAGACATTTGATTGCTGCCATGAAACTTTAATAACCGAAAACCATTGTCCATTGATCTATATTAGCATTTATAAAGTATGTCAAAGGCCCTCAAATAGCAGGCCTTCTCAGAGACATAGCACTCTCCAGGGTGGTTGGGATTAAACAGAGTGTTGGTGGAGTATTGAATCACCAAACCCTCCCCTGCTTCTGTCAGAATACGAGACTTTTGCAACACTTTGCCATCGTTGGCTTGGTTTGTGCTCATCAGCACCTTCAGCTGGTCTGGTAACTCTCGAACAGAGGAGAGATCTGTGACGACAGATTCTTTACCAAAGTTAAGCACTATGAGGAAAGCTCGGTCAAGCCCGTTCAGCTCCCTCAGGTAAGCGAAGACACTGGTGTCAGCATGGATGTAGCAAAACCACCCGCGGTGAAGGGGGAGCTCTGACTGACGCAGGTTGTTCAGGAAACGGTACTGAGTCAGAACGGATCCTGCTTCGTTCTTCTGAACCTAGAGGAGAAAATGTGGCGAGGGGATACATGATCGGATACCAGATGTTTCTCCAGAGTTGAACAGTACAAAAAGAGTTCTGTACCTCCACATTTATGTTTCTGTAGTCGGGGTGCAGAGGCAACCAGGTGATGTTGGTTTTGTTGTTAAAGCCTGCATTCATGTCACCACTCCACTGCATTGGAGACCGCTGAGGGTCTCGACTGGCACTCTGCAGTTAAAAAAACAAGTATTGACAATTATTGCCTCAGGTGCACATTTCTTAGGTACATGAAGCTAAAATGAATGCATTCTAAAATAAATCCAGCCTTCATGAAGGTTAATTTGTTTTTGCTTGCTGGAAGTGTTATACAGAAGCATTGACTTAACTTTATGGCCTTTTTCAAGGCTGTATTTTGTGGTGAATAAAATCATGTCCCTATTGTCTAAATACATGTTTGTTCTGTTTTGTAATGTCATCAATTAAACTGGTAATTCCTTATGTACCTACTGCATTTGGGAGAGCTGTTTAAGTGAGTATTTAAATGTTTTACAACTGACCGCATTGTATTTGCCAGCAGGGTCCTGTATCTGACTCTCTGTGACATTAATGTTCTCCATGCCGATCTCCTCGCCATAGTAGGTGGTGGGCGTGCCTGGAAGGGTCAGCAGCAGCATGTTGATGACACGAATATAGGTCTGACCAGCACTGGAGGCAATTCGAGGCTTGTCATGGTTCCCAACCTGATAACAATGGAGGCAAGAGAAAGACAAGAGACGATGGGAAGGAAGAAGGCAGGGTAAAATGGATTGGGAGTCATGGAAGAGAATGCTGAAGTTAAAAAGTGAGTGATACAGGATTGATTTGATAGACTGTCACAGAGGAGTAACAATATACAATATATTGCAATAACATTTGTGCTGGTGTTTTATAGAGGGGCAGGTCAGTGTAACTCAGACTGGAAACACTGCTTTGTGACAGGAAATCATAAAGAAGTTTGGTTGCTGATCCCAGAAGGAAACCTTTGTTTTCATAGTTTTCTCTGAGGTGCACATTGCATCAAAATGTTATTCCTTGCACCTAATTGATAGCTGTACCAGTTAGTTTCTGGTCACACCATATCACAGAGGAGTGTCTTTGTATTCATAAACATTATTTAATGGGTCAGATTATTTGAAGTTTTTAATCAGCCAAGAAAGTAATATGTAAATGTGACTGTGGTGACTCACCACCCAGTTGGGCCATTGTCCTCTGGGCATGTTGGCCATCCACAAGTGGACCAGATGTTGAACCCACAAGCCACTGGTGTTCTGAGGCAGGTCCAGTAGGTAAAAGTTAAAGGGGAAGTCACTTTCTTTAACCAGCGGGGTGCCATAGTACATCATGGTCTTGTCCACTTCGTGGTAATCATATGACTCTGTCACCATGAACCTGGAGTGGAGCAAAAACTGATAACATGCAAACTGATCTTCAGCCATACATTGTTAATATTCAAGACTCACTTTCATACTTCTGAACTCTGCTGCTCTTTCACACGAGCCATACTATGTGATACTCATTTACGCTTATTGGCATTTTACAAAAAGATTTATTAATCCCACACTAAAACTGACATTTGTATCAGAAATTCCTATAGAAAAGGCAAATCTTTTTCATCTCGGTTTTATATCAAGATTCTACGGAAGATTATCTTGGATCTTCAAGCAAGGATAGGCAGTTTATTTCAGAAGCATTTTGTTAAAACTCTCTTTACATCCCAAATCATTTAATCAAATGCTCTCAGATATCCGTGGCTGTCGCCACAGCCAATCCTTTAATTCAGTCCTTCCTTTGCACACTCTGCCTGTGCACTCATTGCGTATGAAAATGTGTTTTGGGGGAGTGGCTTTGGGGGGAGGCCTGAAGGGAGGGGGTGGGATTTTTTCAGTTGTATACTTTCAAAATCTAGTTCCCATACCTGTATCTGCCAGGCTCACGGCTATAGATGTCCATCTCAGCCCTCCAGTGCCTCAGCAGGTCATGCAAACCCAGTTGAGTGGTGGTGTAGTCATGGTGGAGGTCCCACTCTGTAGTTACAGATTCCTGCATTGTTATTAATATAAAAAGAAGTATGAGGTAATGTAGCTATTATGGGATTTCAGTGTGTTAGTGGTTTTTGCATTTGGTTAAGACGGTGCTAGTGGTCCATTGATAGTAAACCTTCCACCCTGAGATCATCAACTATAGTGGATTAAGGAAGCTCAACAGTATTTTCTTCTGCCCACTGAGAGTTAGGGGAGCTTGGGTGTAAATGTCTTCCTTTGTAAGTCCAAAGCACAGGGTCAGGTCACAGTTGGAAAATAAGTTGAAACCAGATACAGAGAGAGTAGAGACCATGTGATAAAAGATTTTTGGGTTCAATAGTCAAGAAGTACTGTTGTGTCCGTGTTCAAAAATGTTCAAAGTTTTGTGCTAATTTTATTGGTCCTTGAGTAATTGTAAAAGTAAATAAAAATTAAATTTAAAAAAAAGAGGAAAGGACCAGGCCATGAATCTATTCAGAGGTAATTACAGAGGTAGCAGCACTAACCACAGAGCTGACATGTGGCTACGTGAGCAAACCATTCGGCAAACAACCATCAAACTGCCAGTAAAGCACATAGTTGGCCTAAATTTAAAGTTACAACTGGCACTAAACCACTAAAGCAATAATGATAACAGATAATAGATAGTTGCTCAGTTATGATTGGCTATGGTAAAATTCTCAGTGTCAGCTCTTTATTGCAGCGCTGCTGTTCTACATTTTTGTAAATGCATGAAAAATCTCTGCGTCCTTCCTAACATCACTATAAAGCACAGCTCGGCATGGAGTTGGAGTGAAAATACAGTACACCTCTCAGTCAACAGTAAGTAGACGAGTCCGTCTCAGTACTTTAAAGTGAAGTAAACCCCAATGACTTGCTAATCCACCAAAATATGCCCGTTTTCAACTAATCTTTCCTCTGTGTGCGAAATAACTTTGGTGTCCATGGAACAAAAACTCTTTCTTAGTGAGCTTAACTCTGTGTTAATCATGAACCCTTTGGATTCCAAGAACAGCATTTTCTCCAGCGGGGCAATAGATGAACCTGATATCTATGCCAGAGATAAATGATGAAAGATACAAGTAGTACAGCGTGAACTCTCCCATTCAGCTGTTGATTATGTTTGTTCTACTAGTTACACTGAAAAGTACTGCTTCAGTTGGGTTTGCTTCTGCCCGCAATGCAGCTTTTTGTTCATATCTGGACTGTGACATGTCACACTTTATATAATTTCAACTTAATTAATATAATTATATTACTGAATATTACAGCAGAGATTGTTAACTAAACTGACCATTGATCTCCTGAGCTCAGAGACAGAAAAGCTACCAGGTGAATATATAGAGCAGTAGCAAAAGTTGGAAACCTAGAAATACCTTACTGACTGAACAGACCTTGTGAATATTGTCATGATAAAACTCAAGTTTAATCTAATATTGTTAAGTAAAAAGCAAACAGCAGTAACCACAAGTTTCTTAATAACTAAATTGTATAGGATTGAAGAATTCATGAGGAGCCCCTTTAGATGAGCTGAAGCTTTGCCTTACATGAGGTTAAATGTGTTTGGTAGTGTTACACCTGCTTTGCCATTCGATATGGATCCATTTGAACAGGCAGATCAGACACACCTTACCATCTTTGGTGGCTGTGTCGAGTCAATGTGAGGACAAACGGCTACTAGAACTAAGCCAGTGCCCATTAGAGATGATGGTACCAAGTGAGGTTCGATGTTATGAGGTGGAAAGAGGAAACACTCACTGGTGGTTTGTTTGGGTCCACCTGTGGTTCATCCCTCAAGTGTGCAGCCTCCAGGATGTGCTTCACTGCATCCATCCGGAAGCCATCCACACCCTTCCCCAGCCAGAAATGAATTATATCCTTAAAAAAAAATGAGTGCAACCGCAGACTACTTAGTGCTAAAGTGTCATCTGATAAATGTAAAATTTTTGTATTTGACACATTTCAGCAAGCTCTTCATTCAACTACAATGAAGGACTATTGAGAGTATAAACATGCACATTATACACACAGTCTGTCATTCATTCTGTTGTACTTTGTGTAGCAGCCTTTATAAACACAAGGGTTACCTAGCCTAAGTTAATGTGTAATCAATAACACATCATTGCTACAGATTACACAGGAGTATAGAAGACAAAACAGATAAGGACAACACTGACAAAGATTTTAGCATACAATACATGACTCATTGAAAAACAAACGCTTTTAGGAATGAAAGACACTTAAGAAAGAGCAGTGTGTGTGGTTATGTAATCTTACAACAATCTCTTTGCAGACATGTGGATTCCTGAAGTTAAGGTCTGGTTGCTCCTTGAGGAACTGGTGCAGGTAGCATTGTCCTCTTACTTCATCATAAGTCCACGAAGAGTTCCCAAACACACTCACCTGAGAGAAAGGAGGAGGGAAACGGCAAAGAAGATTACCTAGTGTAGTGCATCAGTGAAGGTTCCGTGAAAATACCACCAAAGACCAAAACAGACACCAGGTATAGAAGACTAGTACAAGTACCAACCCAATTATTAGGCCTCGGTCCAGTTGCATTGCAGTCTGTCCAGACATAGTAATCCTCGTAGTGAGGATCTCGAGTTCGGCTCAAGTTGAACCAGCGATGTCGATCACTGGTATGATTGGGAATGAAATCCATGATCAGCTTCAAACCTGGTGGAAACCGAGAGATTAGTAGAGTCAAAAACACTCACCCTGCCATAGAGCCAATCATGCTACCCCCAAAACAGGACGTGTTATGATCCACCATCACTTTTCCCACCGTGAAAGTACTCACCTTTGTTGTGCATTTCAGCCAGGAGCTCTTCAAAGTCCCGCATGGTTCCAAAGACCGGGTCGATGGCCCGGAAATCTTCCACATCATAGCCGAAGTCCCTCATGGGAGAGCGGTAGAAAGGACTGATCCAAATGGACTTGATGTTCAGGTACTGGAAGTGATCCAGCTTCTCCTGAATTCCTGCCAGACCAGAGACACCACACTGATGAATACTGGATACTGTAGTTCTTGTTCCCAATGACAAGTCAGAACACAAAGCAACACCTGTATTAATATTGATCCCGTCAACCGAGTTAACGTGTATTTGGGTCATATTGTGCTATAAATGATATTTGTTAAAAAAATAAAATAAAAATGGAAAGGCATCTGGTAGTAAAGCTCCCAGAGCTTTCCTTAAATAATGAAGAAATGTTAAGCACCATCATACTATGAGATGTCACTATCAGTCCACTCTGAAAACAGGGTTTAAATTAATGTAAAACTGCACTGAGGTTCTCATAAAAAGTAAACTATCCAATGAGGGGGGAAATGGATGCAGTTTTCTCTCTTCTATCAGTAGCGTTGTATTATTCCTACAACACAGCAGACCTACAGTAGTTGAAGAAATTAATAAAATTGTATCGTTTCTTTTAAAAGTTGAAAATTCATTAAGTTAATATTAAGTTTTATTAAGTAATATAGGCCTACAGTAATATTAAGTTTTTTAGCTATATGGTAGTGATAAGAGTAGCTTTTGGGTCATTTATGATAAATGCTGTGGGCTTCACATTTTCTAGGCAGTAATCAAGGCTAGATTTATAAATGTTAAGTAATGGATCAAAATCCATTAACAATGTCGGTGGTCCATTAGAGTGCATCTGATGAACTAAACTATTTTTTTTAAAGTTAATTGTGCTGCTGGAGTATGAACATTATCTATTATTATCATTAATTAAGGGATTTTTCACAACCTACCAACTGAACGTTATTATTATTAGAGGCCTGTAAGACATGTGTAAAGCATTAGTAAATGACTTATTAACCATGAATAAAGTTGTCCAAAGTATAAACCATTTATAAAGGGTGACTATTATAAATAACCATTTTTGTTAAAAAAAAAAATTAAGAAAAAAGTGTTATTATGGGAATTATTAGGGGAGCGCTTTGGTGCCGGACTGGGACCCAGAACTGGACCAGGACCCAGTTACGTGCCCCAGAAGTAGGCCTACAGCCATTTTCAAGTTGTTGATAAAACAAGGACATCTTTATCAGAGCACGCAGGAGGGTCAGGGGCATCTTACCTTTGAGGTCTCCGACCCCGTCTCCGTCGGAGTCTCTGAAGGACCGGGGGTAAACCTGGTACACCGGCGAGGCCTGCCACCAGTCCAGGCACCGCGGTGACAGCGCGATCACCGTGACTGTGACCGCGACCAGCGCCAGGGTGCAGGCCACCGTCAGCCAGAACAGGATCTCTCGGGGCACTCGGTACCGGGCCTGAGAGGAGTACAGCAGCAACACCTCCTTGGGCATCCCGGCGTACGGTTTGAGCTGCGTGTACTCCTCAGCCGCGTCCAGCTTCTCCCCTGGGGCGGTGTTGATGGTGTCCGCCGCTGACCCACCGCCTTCTACATCCTGATAGCCAGGGTTTCTGGTGCACTCCCCCAGCTCCAGACTACCGCTTTCTTTTTTTAAACTCATCTCATTTAGATTTCTCAATAGGAAAACCCCGAAAACAAACCGTGCTGGTTTAGCTCCTCTTCAGAAAGTCCGAGTGACTCAAAGACCCAACGTGAGGTAGCCTAATCTAACTGCTCTTAGAGGGTCAGAGTACACACACACACCTCTTTCATCTATCTCGCTCTCTCTCACACACACACACACACACACACTCAAAGAGAACAGTGCCACCTGAGGAATGTGGGAAACTGGAGAGTTGGATGGGAATAGTTAGAGATTAGCATTCTTGTTGCAGAGGTGGTTGGGAGAAGTAGCCTATAGTACAAAGGTAGTTCATTCAAAACGTTACACCAGTAGGAGCATTAGGTTTGATCACCAAAATGTATTTAAAAAAAATAAATAAATAAAAGTACTCATGCAGAATGAACCCATTTGTAGTGTTAGGATTGTAGTACTGGATTACTATCCAATAATCCAATGCTTTAGCCCGTTTTGAGAAACATTTTAATGCAGCAACTGCACCCTTTCCAAAGTGTTGTCAAAATCTGACCAGTGATGTGCAAGATACCATGCAAGCTTGATGACAGGAAATAGATAAATATCACTAACTTCACTGGAAGAAAGAGGAATACCTGTCAAGATAAAAATAAAAACAGAAATGCTGCAAATCTAACTTGTTTATGTTAAAACTTTAGGACACCTGGCTGCGCCAAAACAATTTACTGTTTCAGTGACCGTGCATAATGTATATTTGAAGTATATTCAAAAGCAGAGGTTCTTATTTTGCAGGCTCTCTTTTCTGAGCTACATGGTGGCTTTTTCTTATTTGCAAAACCTTTTTGTCATCTGGCACAGAGAACAATGAACACAGCAGAGGGCACAAACTGATTTTTGTTTTTTTTTAAATCAGCCTGTCTACTGTGTTGTACTGAACAGTGAATTGCTTACAAAAAGACACACTGACATTTCAAGTTGGCGCTGAGGGAAAAAAGCATTGCAGTTTGAACTGTTTAACTTAAATCCATTTTATTGACGTTTATGTTCACTGTATGGTCTAACATCACAATAGCATACTGGGAAATTAGTACAGGAAGAAGGCATGATGAATACCCATGGGTGTTTTATAATCCTCTCCTTCCTTTAGCCTTCTCCAAAGGTCAAAGGAGGGCATTCATTACTCTCAAATGCAAACCAGCTTACCAAGAGCTAAAAAGCACAGGAATAAATAAAAACAGGTGTGGAATTTATCACTGCTATCACACATCTGTCAATTTTAACAGTATGTCTACATAAAGAGTGTCCAGAGACAACAGAAGGAGGTGGCAGAGAGTAAAAGGGTTCATTTTCAGACCTAAAAAGCCCACATGAGGAATGTCATTTGTCTTTTGCTTCTAGTAGTCGTTTCCAAATTCTCGCCTGCTTTCTGGCATCCTCACGGTCACACTCACCCAGCCGGACCCAGAATAACTGACCAGCTGAGGAGACAAGATGCTTTGTAAAATTCTCTTTACTCGACATATCCTGAAATCAAAGCAACAAATAAAATTATTCGGGCATCACCAAACCTCCAAAGTCTCCTTCGAAAAAGTGAGACGTCTTCCCTGGTGAGATTATATTCCACAAACAGAACAATGATCACATACTTTTCAAAACAAAGGGAAGCAAAGATAGCTTGTTTTTCATCAGTCATTGAATGACTGATGAGGAGGGAATGTGATGCTGCAGTGCTGCTTATATTCAGTCCATGCAGTGGAAACAGTGTGAATATTATAAAATTACATTCAAAAACAACAACAAAAAAAAAAGGATTCTCCCTCCTTTCCTCCAATTAATTCCTCTCCTAGCCCAGTGTCTGATACAGCTTAAACATAAACCTAAACGGAAGACTCAGTTCAGTGTGGTAAAACCAAATGTTAAGAAGTCAGCAAATATGAATTTTGAAATAACAGTCCACAATGGGAATGATTCAATTTCAAACTGAATTTACATCTTAAAACAACAAGTAGCGATTAAAAATGACTGTAAATAAAAATAATATCCTGCTATGTGTTCCACTTTTCTCTATGCTGTTCTTTCATACATTTCCTCTCCAACATTGTGTTCCACCACACTGAACCTGCCAGCATTATCCCCATCTGGCCAGTACTCCCACTCACACAAAATACACTTCTCCCTCAATCACAAAACATGCACAACTATAAAGATCCCATCCCTCCCACTCCCTCCACCACAAACAAAGAAAAATCAATCATCCCATTAAAACAATGCAACTGCAAAAGAACTACACATTCAAGTACCTATTTGTCATATGGCACCGAGAGCAAGTGTACCACAAGAACATTTATCAGCCAGCAACCTGTTAGGCCTATTCTCTTTCAGTACTGCCACTTCAGAAAGCACAATGAATTTGCCATCAAAAGATTGAAAAAAAAAAAAAGAGAAGTGTATATTACAGTTGTGTATATAATTTTAGCCTATTTTAAATGCATCTACAGGAAAGAACACACGTGAGAAGTATGTCAATAGACTTTGTCTATGAGCACATTTCTTAAAAAAAAAAAAAAGACATTTGTTTAAAAAAGAAGAGGCTTTTTCCGGACAAATATTTGTTTCTGAACTTTCAGTCACTTCTTAGTGCTTGGGTTGAATAATAAGAATATAATATGAACTCCTGGTCATTCCAAAGAGTCAAACCGGGGCTTTCCCCAACACCGGCCCTGTGCATTTGAGGCAAAGTCTATAAAAAAGGTAGCTGTGGAAAACGTAAGGAGAGCAATTTCAGTAAGTGTGAACACAGCTCTGGGTGTAGGGCCTATTCTCTTCTGTCCTATGGTGTCCCTCCTTTACTTCATACACTGAAACTCCATAAACCTATTTCTTTCTCCCCAACAGCTGTACAAGGTATATTTCGTGCTCCCCTCGTCATTTTCTTATCCATCTGAAAAAAGGACCACAGCACTATGAAAAGCTATATATACCAAAAAAATTTTTTAAAAGAAAAAAAAACGTAAATGGAATTTTTTCGATCAAAAACAAACAAAAAAGGCATTATTTGTTTTTTTACACAGGATATTTCAAAGATAGAAAAGACAAGTTGTAGAAGAAGCAGGATTTTATGTGCGTATTGAAAAGAAAGGGGGAAGAAGGTGGTGAGGCTGGAATTCCTTTACCCCAACCATGTCTTTGGAACGGTTTGTGGGAACACTGTGCGCAACTGTTTTAACTGTTTTAGTCTACAAAAACACACAGACCACATGCACAAAGGGCCACAAATAATACCATGGCTGGGAATTAAGATGAAACAAACCAATCAAAATATATCTATATATCTCTCGCTCTATATCTATATATCTCTATATATAGATATATATCTCTATATCTATATATATTTATGAATTCAATATATAGTCATTTCTATTTTTCTATTTCTTAAACAACAGCAGGCTCAAACGTTTATGATTCTGTCTGCCAATGCAAATGACAGAAGAGTGAAAAGACAGAGGGGAAGAGTGAGAAATCTACTATTTGATAACATCTTTTAAGAGACAGGAGGAGAGAAAGTAAGCAGCGATGTGCAAGAAAAGTTTAAACCTCCTCCATGTTATTCCTATCTGTAGCCAGGCGCACCAACCAATGTCCTGTTTTAGTATGAACACAGTATGGATGAGCCAAATGTGTAAATGTGTTGCCAGACAGACTCTCGTGAGTACCCCCCCCCCCCGTCTTCAGGTGTGTAGACCAAGGTGATGGACTCTTGGACCCTGAATTTGAGGTTTTAACCGAGAGGGGTTAAAAGGATGAATAGCAAGGATTTCGTAGTTTTAAATCTGTAAGTTCTGTTAGGCTTTCCCAGCAAGCCAGGCGCGTGGGCAGGTGAAGTGTTGGGCCCCATTTCTGTACCAGTAATGCCCTCAGTGTAGCTTGAGGTGTGTGGGAGTAGCAGGTTTGTGTGGTCGAATGGCTGCCAGTCAGGTGCAAGTTCACACTTCAAAACAAATAATGCCAAAAACAAATGCAGCCAACAAACCACTTTAGTCTGTTCAGTGTCTTACACACATCCATCAGTGGCTGGTTTCTTAAAGACTGGCTGGCTGTTGAGTTGTGAGGTCCTCCCTTCTCCATAGAGCAACAAAATGATGTCTCTGTCAATTCACAACAAAAACAACCACCACAAAGAAAGCAAGGGGCAAGAGAAACTGTGCCTCTCCTGATATACTGTATATGAAGTTCTGCGTTCACACCATCAATGCAATTTTGTTATATTTTGTCCCTGTTTTGTTCTACAAAAACAACTTTGGAGTCCTCCACATTGGATGTGTTGTTTGTTTTGAAAAACTGGGATCTCTGCTTCAATTGATCAGTGTGGGAGAGGGGAAACTAAATCACAAAAAACATCCCAGAGGAAACTAATAGGTGACTTTGGATGTGATCTTGTGTGGAAAAGTGGTCCTCTTTTTCTTTTCTTTTTTGGATCAGGCAGTTGTGCTGGACAGCTACCAGTGGTACTCCAACTCTGCTCCGTTCTGCAAGAGGAAAGCCACCAAGAGTAGAGTGGAAGAGAAGAGTAGAATATGGCAGAAAAGGAGCGATGGGGGAAAGAGGAATAACAGAAAAGAGAAATGAGTCAAAGGAAGGAGGAAAAAAAAAAAAAAAAAAAAAAAAAAAAAAAAAAAAAAAAAGAAGGGCACACTGTTATCAAACAGAAACAATATTTACAGTTACATTCAATGGTTTTGTTCTCCAACCTGGACTTCATGGCCAGGTTTTTCATCTGATAAACAAAAAAAAAAAAAAAAGTTATAATAGCATTGTAAGCCAGGGCGCACCTTCAACCTCAGTGTGGTGGTTCTTTCTGCAACAATACGCCAACACAACAATTCCAAGGTCTTTTGACTTATTGCAGGGAGTGACACAGAAACAATTGCAACTGCAGTTGTGAAAAGACTGAGTGAGACAGCAATGCATGCGTGTAGGGCGAGTGCATGCGTTTTCTTGTGTGCGTGTGAGAGAGGGACGGACAGGACCAGAAACAACAACCATTCATCCTCATCAAACCTGGACACCTTGTCTGCACACGGACGCCCATTTGCACACACGCCTTCAACTCTGGAGCTTCACATGCTGACGAGTACATCAGAGCAGGGAGTAGAGACTGATGAAGGATTGACAGGGGGGATATGCGAAAGAGGTCGCCACTTACATGCCTGTAAGAATGCGTGTGTATGTGTGGTTGTATGTATGTGTGTAGATGAGGGTTTGGGAGAAGGGGGTGGGATAACAGTTATATATGTCATCACTTACCAAATGAAACAGGAGGGCTGCGTTAATCAGAGGGTGAACACACAGTTAGACAAATCGATACATCCCTTATCAATGTGTGTGAGTGTGTGTAAGGTTACATCCACACTACCACGTTTTCGTTTTAAAATGCAGCGCTTTTGCCATGCTTCTGCCTGCCGTCGAGATTAAAACAGCGAGTCCGAACAGCTAAAATGGAGAAGTTTGAAAACACTGCTGACCCCGTTTTTGTTTTCAAACTCCGATGTAGTGTATTAGTGCGGACAGGCCAAAACGGGGGACTTCGAAAACACATTTGGCTTCCTAATTGGGTCTTATCAGTCATGCAAAGCAAAAACAACACTACTGACAGTGTTTCTGCTTTGGTATTGTTATTAAAATATTTTATACTGTGTAAATAACACATACACACTTGTACTGTGCATCTCGCCGTATTTGCTTTTTGCGACGACTCCCGGTTTGTTTTCCATCCCCATAGTTGCTTTGGACTCCTGTGTTACTTTTAGTATCAGCAGTCTGTCCAAGCAAAAGAATCTCTGGTGTGGTTCTTCGCCATTGCCGTTTTTCGTTCGCCTGTAGTATTACTTTCTTCTTTAGCCAAATCTTCTGCAACTTCAGAGTACACAATCTGCTTTCTGTTTACACCGGCATGCACATGCCCAGTGTACGTGAATGACCACCTGACGTGCGTTTTCAGTCAGTTGTGATACAAAGCTATTAAAACAAAAATGTTTTAGTGTGGTTGTAGCCTGTGAAGAGTAGTCTTTCCACTATTTTTGCTATGTAAAAAAAAATTTTCTTCTATTTTAATACAAGTTTTTTTTGTTTTTTTATAAAGGTGCCATCAGTACTTATTACATTTTTCACTCCTGCCTTGCTTGACAAACATCTTGCTGCTCTTCTTGATCATGGTCGCTCATTTATTGGTGGAACATCATGCTGTTGCCAGTGTAGCTGCTCACTGTCAATTTTGGTCCGTTGAGATGGACGATATTTTTAACCAGGTCTAAGGGCACTCTCACACCTGTAGTACACTTAATTTAATCCGGACCAAGAGGAAAAAAAACATTTACATTGTTGCATTTTAGTCCTGGTCCAGTTCATGTTCACACTGACTTTTTATAAATGAACCAACAGAAGTAAACATGAAGTTATACAGACTGACAGGTTGATGGGACTGTTTTGGCGCTTGTCATCCTGCATCATCATCATCAGGACTCCCATGAGGAAAACAAATTTCGGCGACTGACTGTTTATGCAGCACTTTAATACTTCTGAAATATATTTGTTCTTTTGGTGTAACAAAGAGCTCACAGAGAAATATAACTGAAATAAGCATCATCAGTATTATTAGTAGGGACACCCAATAGTCAAAGATTTGATGCTTCGATGGGCGGGGCCTGATTCGACTGTCAATCTCACAGTCAAAGCTTCGCAGCAAAACAAGGATCATACCATTTTGGCGATATGGGGGTGCTCAGTGTCTGATTTTACATAGAACTACCAGTTTTCTCCCAATAAGTTAAAATACAGCCTATTACAATTAACATTTCAACGTTTAATGCTGTAAATAAACATGTATAAAGAATTAAACTTTCAATAAATGTTTTCAAAAGTGCGTAAATAAATCCAAAATTGTAACCCTAACCCCGGGTCGTCAGTGCGCATGTGTAGGTGGAGCGTGTGGGCACGTGGTGTGGCGGAAGAGGAACACTTGCTGAAGAGACTGAGCCCCGGCTTTACTGGAGCTGTGCCGGGTTGTCCGCACCTTGCGGGACTTTCGGATAATTTAGCACCATTGATTAACCACACAAAGAATATTATACAGTTTTTAAATAGCCGGCTACTTGAAATAGACCCGCGAGGAACCGCCCCCCGCTCGCAATCGCTGTGCACAAAAACACACATTCAACTATAGGCAGGACTTGACGATTCGACTATGTAAATACTTAGTCGGGGACAGCCCTAATCATTAGACTGAAAATCTATCATATGTTATAAATACTGATGTAGAGAAAGGACACAGGAGAGGGATATTATACACTAATGATTCGTGACTTATTACTGTGGGATCACTGTGGACTTAATGAACTGACAAAGTTAAGGTACAGCATTTAACACCTGTTAATCAGGTAAAATGTATACGTGTTGACGTGCTACCAAATGATTTGTATGAATATATACATGGCTTATACTGATCAGATACAAAATAGCTTCCTGAACAGATTTCACGATCAGCAGAAGAAGGATTTATTCACAGTTTAGCTTTTGAAATAATGCTAAAATCACATATCTGCTATCATGTGGTTGGTTTGGTTGCTTTCACATCACAAGCAAACCGCACCAGAGATCGCTAGGTGGGCTCAGTACGGTTGTAAAATTTTTATCCACAACATGGATGAGTAAAAGGTATAAATTACTGTATTAATAAATATTATAACATTAAATAGAAAGAAAGAAAAATATATTTACAGGTTATACTTTATTTGGATAATCTGCCCACAGATAGTTTATTAGTTGAGATTCAGCGGTTTCACAAATAGAACCATTTTCTTATATTAGCCTACACCACTGGTTATGGTTTGATCAGTGCGAATGTTTGTATATTCATTATAATTTCAGATAATAATACAGGATACTATAGCTTACCATTAGTAGCCTACAATATTAATTCCAGTTGGAAAAAACAGCAGTTTCATTTTTGTGGGTTGTTTTCAGTCATTAAATTATTGTGCAAGAAAAATGCTCTACATGATGGTAAGGCTCCGATTTATTTATGCAAATTACTAACTTGTCAGTAATAAAAACTGTGCAAACAGAACGAGTTCAAATTCATTTTTTTCATTTCTATAGTTTGCTATGATGACTCAACCTTTTTTTTTTTTTTTTTTTTAATGTCCTGCCTCCTCCTGGCTGTGATTCACGAAAAGTGATTTTGACGAGCAACTATGCACACGGTTGCGTGAATGGCTCCCTATCTCCCTGTGGAAATTAGCAGGCAGAAGAGAACAGGTAAAGGTGTACGTCACGTAATGCCCAGAAAACCTGATCTGAAGAGGGCAGAGGAGAGTCCGGGTGCCAATGCGCCTAAAATGACTAAGATGTAAAAGTGACTGCCAGCACACTTCATGCACAAACGGCTTTTATATTGTGAAAAATAACAGAAGTCATCTCTACTATTAGCGCGAGCTTCGCAGCAGAGGAGAGGTGATTGTTGGAAGTAAATACGTCGTATTTAAGTTCACTTTTTGCTTGATCAACAGTTGTTTGATAAGTGGCTATTAAAACACAGAGAGGATTTGAAGGTTGCTTCTTTTTTCCCCTCAATTCTGATCATTTTGCCGCTAGTGATTTTCCTTTGGCGCTTGCTAAAACCTCTTTGGGGGTCGCCAAAAAATTCTCTATGCAGGAAAAACCCTGCCTACATATTGTACTGATAGCACCTTTAATTGAAGTAGTAGGTTAGAAAAACAAGTGCTATTAACTGCTATGTAATTATATACCTTATAGTCCTCACCGATTTAAAACTAAAAGAAATCTTAATATTATAGCATTCCTTAAACATTGTTATTATCAGTGCTTCCCACAGATTGATTTATTTATGGCGGCCCTCCACTATCAAAGCTAACCGCCACATACAGTCTCCTCCAAAAGTATTGGAACGGTAAGGAAAATTCCTTTGTTTTTGTTGTTCACTGAAGACATTTGGGTTTAAGATCAAAACATGAGTATGAGACAAGAGTTCAGAATTTCAGCTTTCATTTCCTGGTATTCACATTGTTTATCACATTTAGATGTGTTCAACAACTTAGGACATACCATATTAGACCACAGCGTTCTTAGGGGAGCAAAAGTAATGGAACAAATAATCTTAAAGTAAACAACATTTAATATTTGGTAGCATAACCCTTGCTTGCAGTAACTGCCTCAAGCCTGCGACCAGTCAACATCACCAAACTGTTGCATTCTTCATTTGTGATGCTATTCCAGGCTTTTACCACTATTCGGGGTGTTTCTCCCTTCAGTCTCCTCTTAAGGAGGTGAAATGCATGCTCTACTGGGTTAAGTGATTGACTTGGCCAGTCTAAAACCTTCCACTTTTTCCCCCTGATGAAGTTCTTTGTTTTGTTGGCAGTGTGCTTTGGCTCATTGTCCTGCTGCATGATAAACTTCCTCCCGATTAGTTTCAATGCATTTCTCCGTAAATTGGCAGATAAAATGATCCTATTGCAGAGACTGGAATATTTCATTGGCATTAAAGGAACCGCTCTAAGCTGGTTTAAGTCCTATTTATCAGATCGATTTCAGTTTGTACATGTTAACGATGAGTCCTCCATGCATGCCAAAGTTATTCATGGAGTTCCTCAAGGATCTGTCCTCTGACCAATCCTCTTCACTTTATATATGCTTCCTTTAGGCAATATTATCAGGAAACATTCCATAAGCTTTCATTGTTATGCAGATGATACTCAGTTATATCTATCGATCAAGCCAGATGAAACTCATCAGTTAGCTAAACTTCAAATGTGCCTTCAGGATGTTAAAACCTGGATGACCTGTAATTTTCTCATGTTAAACTCAGATAAAACTGAAGTTATTGTTCTGGGGCCTATAGTTTCCCTGGATGGCATCGCCCTGGCCTCCAGCACCACTGTGAGGAATCTTGGAGTTATCTTTGATCAGGACATGTCGTTTAAGTCTCACATTAAGCAAATTTCAAGGACCGCCTTTTTTCACCTACGTAATATTGCGAAAATCAGGAACATCCTGTCTAAAAATGATGCAGAAAAACTAGTCCATGCATTTGTTACTTCTAGGCTGGATTACTGCAATTCCTTATTATCAGGCTGCTCGAAAAAGTCCATTAAGACTCTTCAGCTGATCCAGAATGCTGCAGCACGTGTTCTGACAGGAACCAGGAAAAGAGATCACATTTCTCCTGTTTTAGCTTCTTTGCATTGGCTTCCAGTAAAATCCAGAACAGAATTTAAAATCATTCTTCTTACCTACAAAGCTCTTAATGGTCAGGCACCATCTTATCTTAAAGAGCTCATAGTACCTTACTACCCCACCAGAGCACTGCGCTCCCAGAATGCAGGGTTACTTGTGGTTCCTAGAGTCTCCAAAAGTAGACTAGGAGCCAGAGCGTTCAGCTATCAAGCTCCTCTCCTGTGGAACCAGGTTCCAGTTTGGGTTCAGGAGGCAGACACCATCTCCACATTTAAGAGTAGGCTTAAGACTTTCCTCTTTGATAAAGCTTATAGTTAGGGCTGGCTCAGGTGAGTCCTGAACCATCCCTTAGTTATGCTGCTATAGGCCTAGACTGCCGGGTGATTTCCCATGATGCACTGAGCTCCTCTCTCCTCTACTTTCTCTCCCTCTGTAAGCAACCTCATCCCATTATTGCATGTTACTAACACAACTTCTCCCCTTTCTGGTAGTCTTGTGCTTTCTCGTCTCTCTCCTATCACTTCCTGCAGGTTTTCTGGCTCTGGAGCTGTGGAGTCTGGATCTGTGGTTGCGGGTCACCTGCTGCCCCCGTGTTCCTGCTCGACACCCTCTGCTGCAACGACTATTGTTGCTAGTCTTATTGTTATTATAATCATTAACATTACGATTGTTACCATTAACACTATTATAAATATCTGTACCATTTTTCATTTTCTCTCTCCCCCCCCCCCCCTCTCATAAGCAGTTCCTTTCTTTCTCCACACTTTACCAAAGTGATGGAAAGGCCAGAGATTAATCTTGGTCTCATCAGTCCATAAGATTGCTTTCAAGGACTTACAAATTTCAATCTGGCCTTCTGATTCTTCCTGCTGATGAGTGGTTTGCATCTTGTGGTGTGGCCTCTATATTTCTGCTCTCTGAGTCTTCTTTCAAAAGTGGATTGTGATACCTTCACCCTGCACTGTGGAGGTTGTTGGTGATGTCACTTACTGATGTTTTGGGGGTTTTCTTCACAGCTCTCACGATATTTCTGTCATCAACTATTGTCGTTTTCCTTGGCCGACCTGTTCGATGTCTGTTGCTCAGTACACCAGTAGTTTTTCTTTTTTGGGACATTCCAAATTGTTGTGCTTGCTTTGCCCAATGTTTGTCCAATGGGTCTGGTCGATTTTCCTTCCTTTCTCAGCTTGACAATGGCTTGCTTTTCTCCCATAGACAGCTCTCTGGTCTTCATGTTGGTTTATCCTCTTTAAACAGGAAATGCAGTCTTTATAGGTTTGAAGCAAGGATGAAAACTTAGACTAGTCATGCAGAGCTATTTAATGTTTGGACAATCAACCTAAAAGGCAACACCTGGGCAACAAACATCTGGCAGTCACATGTTCCAATAGTTTTGCTTACTTGAAAAATGGGTGGGTGCAAACAAAGGGTGGTATGTCCTGAGTTGTTTAACACCGTATCGATTTCTTTTTTTTTTACCATTTAAAATGGGCAAAATTGTAATTGACCACAGAGCTGCGTGCAGCACATATATTCGTCCAGCACCTCCTCTCAGACCCATGTGTGAATTGAATCCTTAGAATCATGAATAATCATGAGCAATGTCGGAGCTGATGTTAACGTTAGATATATATCAACTGTACCCCCCCCCCCCCCCCCTAAAGTTACGGGTCTGTGGGAAACATTGATTGTGAATTATTGTGATTTAAAATCAAAATCTGTTTAAAGACACTATGTTTGAAAATTATGATGTTGGCATCCCCAGTACAAACAAAAGTAATTTCCCAGTAATTAGAAAGATGCTATAATCACATGACAATTCTACACAAAGCAGCTTTGAGCAGAGTAGCTAATATCCTTTTCTTATGTGTGAATGTGTGCATGTGCGCATAATGCAACAATGACAGTAACTCTACGATCCTATAGACATACAACACTACAAGGTGAACATTACTTCAGCCCCAGCACGCACTATACACACAGACACAGAAGTTAGGCTCCATCTCAGGATTTATGATTTGTCCATTACTAGCAGACACATGCACACACACACACACACACACACACACACACACACACACACACACGGGAACACACCAGACATAGCAGATAATAAACAAGTGGACAAGTGGAGAGCTTTATAACGACTGACACAAGTTCAGGGTGCCAGCCCCACATAGACACATCTGATCCATCATGTAAAATCACGTACAAAACACACACTGACATGATGTAACCACCCATCCACTGCAACAACAGAAAGTAACAGGACCACACCAGCAGTGTCATTATTTTCCTGTTTTCAATCCATTATGTTAGAGAGGGAATGTGTACAACTTGCTGGCACAAAAAAATATTCTCACTGAGCCTTCGAAGCCACCGTACAATCTCTTCAAGTGGCAGAAACAAGCGCTTTAGTTGACGTCCTTTGACAGTGCGCAATTGCTCATAAGTATAACGCTGCAGCCCTGTTTCCCTGCTGCCGACTGCTGTGCGATTGCTCAATACCGGACTAATTTAAAAAAAAAAAAAAAAATGTTGTCCCCATTAGTCATATAGACACAAAACATGTGGTCCATGTAAAAAAAAAAAAAAAAAAAAACAGTAATAAAGAACTAGGCCTTCATTTGAGACAGGATACTGTTACAGTAGAAACATGCCTTTTTCTATTTCGACATTTTTCTATTTCCCGTTTTAAAGGTATACTTAGTTGTTCACGTGTGTTTTTAGGTCTGTGGAACATACTGAACACAGGGACAGATAATGATACAGCAATAATTTGAAAAGTATCTTCAGACATGTTGACACTTTGTCTGCAGTGAAATGGGCAGAAAGCTGACTATAGCAACTCTCCTTCATTAAGGAGCGAGGTACAGCCACTTTTGAAGCCTACACAAATTTAGTTTTTGAAAAATTCAAACATACTTTTGGTGTTGCATAAAATATGTGCATTATATTGATATTTGGAGTTACATAGTGTCATTTTTATATATTTAATTTTGATTACTGCTTTATTATCATTGTGTGTGCAAGTGTGTCTGTATCCAAGTCTTCAACTTTTATTTCCAACATTTCTAATAACACATAAAGGTAGTACAAAGCAGAAGGATGCAGAGCCGCATCTGACCATCAGCAGGAAAATAAGCTTACAACTCTATAAAGCATAGAGTCCTCAAAAAGGGGAACACTGTACCAGTACTAGTGACAGATTCATGTATTTGAAATTCTACTGTATATTACTTTGGTGTAGGAGGAGGAGAAGACTAATGACAAAGCTGCATTGTCATGCATGCATAGCCCATTGTGAGAGCTGCCAGGAAGGTGTGCGTCATACACAGAAAAAACCCCCCCAGATGTTTATCATAATGGGAACTCAAAACGATCTCTGAAGTGTAATGTACTTGTAATACTTCATCTGTTATGGATGAATGAGCATAAGAGTAAGAGCGTTTCACTGAAACTCATGTCAAAGATAAAATTAACAAATCAGACAGCTGATCTCAGATGTGTTATATAGACTTTAACATAACATTTGTGTGTGAGTGTTGTGCAAATGGTAAAAGAAGGACAAAGCTCATATTTATGACATATATTGATCCTCACCCCATCTTCCTCCCCGTACGGGTTCAGACGGTTGTATACTGCTTCAATAACGCTGCGTCTACAGGAAGAACACAGATACACAAAATGTCAATGGGGCTATTTCTTACAAACCATCCATCAATGTAACGACAGTGGGCAAATGTGGAAAAACAAGGTATGGTAAGGTGTAGTAGTCAAAAAAGTAGTAACCATCTTGCTAATATTGTAAAAACTTGGAAAAGTATTTTCTATTCCAAGGTAGGTAGTCCCAATGATGTTCAAAAATCAATTGAGCATAAGCGACACTAGATAACTGGTGACTTATTTTTCTTATTGGCCAGTTGATTTTGATTTTTTTTTTTTTTTTTTTTTTTTTTTTTTTTTAAAGCCAGTGGTCATCCAAAACTAAAGGAAATTTGCCAATGTTTTATACTTGCCTTGCACTTTCATATTTGTATTACAGATGTTGTGGAATAATGTACAGCTCCTATAAATAACATCCCTTTTAGGGCGGTGGTCCTTACTTGCTGGCGAGGCCTCCCCCTGGTGGCAAAGGTGGCATGCCGTGGTCAGTGGATAGGTTCCTCATCACTGCTACCAGGTCTGGAAATCCCTCCTCCCGAGACAGCATCTCTAAAACACCACCAGACATGTTGTTACACAACTGTGTATTAACACAGCTTAATGAGCTTGTGATAGCCAAATACAGGTGGGGAAAGAGGAAACAGGAGTGAGACCAAGAAATGTGACACATGAGGATAAAGGAAGTGGAAGAATGGAAACATTACAAGTGAATTTGTGGAAATTAGTGCATGTCTGAGAGAGAAAGAGATGGTGACAGAAAGTGGACTGCAGCTGAGTTGAGTGTGGCATGAGGCCAGGTCAATGTTCAGCCAGAGCATTCCTCTCCTTTCTTTTCTTCTCTGTATCTTCCAGTATTAGACAGTACTTGAAGCCAAATATCTACTTTGCTTCACCCGAACGAAACCTTTGCATACCAGAATTTTAACCCACTCGAGTTCCTATCAAAACATTCAGCAAACATTAAAATACTTTGCTGTAATACACATCAGCTACCTCTGTGTTTCCACAAGCATTACATAGTCTTACAAGGGATATTCCAACCTTTCCTTTCCATTCTGTGGATCAAGATACAAAGTTGGTAAAAACAATTGTAAAGATTTATTTTATCTAGTCTCAGAGTTAAAGAACACATTTTTCTTGTTTGGCCAAAATCTTAAACAGCTGACCAGCCCTGGTTTTACATGAGCTAACAGAAGCCAGGGAATAGAGCTGACATAATCAACAAAGACTAGAAAAGCTGCATTGTGTTAATCAGAAGGCCTCATGCATCCTGAGAAAAAAAATGGGATAAAATGATGAAGAAAAAGGACAGAAAGCAAGACAGGAGGGGAGCAGGGAATCCATCCAAACAAGACAGGGAATACTTGAGCGAAAGAGGGGAGAGAAGATGCGTTTAGGGAGGGGATAGGGAGGAGGAGAGCAAACAGGAAATAAAGAGGGGAGATGCTTGCTGAGATGGAAAAGGAGGTCATGATGGTGTCATTCTTCTGCTGTGAGTTGGAGCTAACTTGGCCGGAGGTTAGACAATAGAGTGTGGCAGGGTCAGTCAGTGGGGAAAGTATGCGTTCTGATATGATACATGGTTTCAGTTGGAAAAAAATATCCTGTATCTCCAAGAAAAAAAAAATAAAACCTTTGTAGACCTGTCTTTCACCTCAGCGACGCCTTTTTAACAAACAGTATTAATGGTTGTAATTGATTATAAAAATAAGAATGTAAACCCTCAACTGTTATTAAAAAGAAAACCGTAAATTTGTCTCAGCTTACCACATGACAGTAAAACACTAACTTAAGAAGCTATTCAGATTAAATGACCTAAAATTCACTCTGAATACAGCCCAGCAGTTTTCATAAGATATAAAAGAAAGATTTTTGAAAATGAGCAATTAAAATTTTTAATATTCAACAATCCCACTATTGGCTCATCTCCATTCTCACCTTCCACTCGAGACTCCAGATATTTGTTGAGCTCAGCGTCCTTCCTCACGGCCTCCTCCGACACTTTGGGAGCATTGGGCAAACACACTAACACAACACTCATGTTATCCCGACTCCCCTAAGACGAACGGGAGGAGAGAGGAATGAAGAAAGAGAAGGTAAGAGAAGGAGCTATTGTGTATTGCTGAAAGAAATAAGGATGATTTCGTAGGCACAAGCTGTGGAACAGTCTGCACTGTGGCACAAATATAAGTAGCCCACAAGGCAGACTGATCAATTTCAAAATTGGGACATAAATATGATATTTTATGTACAATGCCTTTTGTTTTTTTTACAGTTTGTTTTATTTTCTGCCCTTGTGAAAGCACTTTCTAACATGGATTTTGAAAAGTGCTCTATAAATAAAGCTTATTATTTTTATTCTTAAAGAGGTCATATTATGCTAATTTTCTGGTTCAAAATCTTATTTAGGGGTTGTACCAGAACAGATTTACATGGTTTCATTTTCACAAAACACATTTTTTGTCATACTGCACATTGCTGCAGCTCCTCTTTTCACCCTGTGTGCTGAAAGCTTCGTTTTAGCTATGGAGTGATGCATCTTGCCTCTACATGATCTTTGTAGGGAATTACACATGCACAGTTCCTAGTTAAGGACTACTAGCCAATCAGAAGCAGGGAAGGGCAGTGAGAAGCCGGTAAACACGGCTTTGGTTCAAGCTGTATATGTTCCCCATACCATCTTAGCAACATGGACTGGAGCAAGAGTGGTGAGTTATTAATCTGTAACAAATGTATCTTTCATCCATAAAGTTATAACTGAGCACTTGGACTTTGGTCTTTTTCTCTTTGCAGACCTATTACTTGCCCCAAAAAAAAGATATAACTCAATAAAGGAGAGGGAAAAAGCCAAAAAAAAAAGCATAATATGTCCTCTTTAATATTATTGTTTCAAATTAAAAGCTTGAACTTGCACTCTTGGGCAGTTTTAGAACAAGACAAATTAAAAATCCCAACTAATTTCACTTCCTCCTCCTTTCTTATTTGAGGTACCATTTAGTTATGTGCCTAGGTCATCAAAGCTATTGCAACTAGTTGCTGTCAGATAAAAAAAAATATATTTTTGGCACTGTATGTACATTATACATTTATGTACGTTTTTACATCATGTAGGTCTCAATGGGGCAGGGAATTTAAATTACCTTCTTGGTGATGCAATCATTTTAGAAAGTAATCTGTGGAAAACTGGTTTCTTGGAGGACTTGATTATGGCCAGATTCCACACATTTCAATCTCCATGCTAATTACAGCAAAAAACACACAAAGGTCATGCTCAAAATCTAATTTGTACACACCTTGTGCAGGCAGGTGTCCACTACTTCATTGCACACTCTCTCTAGGTCATCAGACACCTCAAGCCTAGATTTCACAAACTCGCACAGCTCCTCATTGGACATGACATCCCAGATGCCATCACAGGCCAGGATCACAAACTGATCCTGTTCTGGGGCCCGAACCATGTCAAACACTGCTGGTTCGGGGCTGACCAGCTGCTCTGTGGGGCCCTTCCCATCCACGCACTTGTAATCGTAGTCCCCCAAAGCCCTCGATACGGCCAGTGAGCCATTAACCCTCTGAATCATCACTGAGCCACCGGCATTCTGGATACGCTCTCTCTCACGTGGGTTGCAAGGCTTGTGGTCGAGTGTGGAGAAGCACACGTGTGAATTGCGGTATAGAACTGCTCGAGAATCACCACAGTTAATGAAGAAGAAATGATCAGGTGACAGGAGGACTCCCACTGCTGTGGAGCCACTACGGTCCATGCCATTTCGGAGGTCAGAGAAGCTGCGCATGTGCTCATCAATCCTCAGGAAGCCTGTCCGGATCCCACCTTTTACAGCTTCCACTGTAGGAGGACCCGATACTGGAGGGTCACTGGATGAGCTGTCTGAACCTGCATGTGAGACTTTAGTCCCTAAACTAGCACTGATTATGTGCTCCAGAAGATGCTTAGAGCAGTAGTTGGCAACCCTTGAGCCAGCGTGACCATCGTACACAGCAAAAAAGGACCAGTCAGTCATGCCAGGAGCAGGAAGTCCCAACACAGCTGTGTGAGCATCCTCCATCTCCACCCGCCAGCCCTGCATGGAACTCAGCCCATAGCGCAGGCCATTGCCCTCACCATGCGAGTTGTGCTTCTCTGTCTTGGGCTTGTCCAGGAACGCACCCATAGCTCTGCCCTAGAGAGACCCACTGCTACCTGGGGGAGAAAAAAAAAAAAAAAAAAAGAGACAGACAAGGGGTTTTTTTTTTTGAAAAAAAGGAAAAAAAACAGACACTGAATTTGAATTAAACAGTTCAGTCACTGCAGGCCTGTATTATCTTGACACCATACCAGAATTCTGACTCTAATAATGATACAGAGTTTAACATGTTAACCCTCAAGATTGTCTGGTTTGGTAGATTTTAGGACACATCTGATGCCTCGTGCTCACCAAATGCATTTTCATAACAGTTTCAAAGCTGTGCTCAAATTCCACAAATTCCATAATATAACACTATAAACTATATTTTTAGCAGTCAGGAAATTGGGCTACTATTTGGACAAAAAGCTAAATTTCCCTCACATTTTTTGACACAGGTGAAGTTAACAACGTTAATTATTGCTTCATTCAATTTAGATGTACCAGATCTTGTAATCTTGGTGCAATAGAGCAATGTGCAATGACCACACTAGCACTTTAGCTCTTGCACCCTAATCCATGGCACCATGTTATCAACAATGTCCTTTTTCTTTTGTTTTTATGTTTTCCTCTTGTGAAGTACTCTATGTCAATGCTTCTCTGATTCTTGTTGATGTAATGTGATCCCTTTTATGATCTTTTTTTATGAAGCACTAACGCACTGTGCCCAAGCCAAATTTCCCTTCAGGGACAATAATGTTTAACCTAACTTATCCTACCCAACCAGTGACTGGGCCCTGGTATTATACATTGCTGGCTCAACTGGGTTGTTTACTGGCACACCTAAATTGAACTTAAACACTAGACTTCCCAATCAAGTATGAGTGTATTTACATGAGAGAGGTACAATTTGTAACAAATAACACAAACAAACATTAAATTAGGAGGAAGAGCAGCAACAGACTAAATTAAATTAAAGTAAAGTATTGGTCCTTATGGAAATTAAGAATGTTACAGGGTAAAATCTAAAAATATTTGCACACAACTAACAAATTAAAATAAGCAGGATACAGAAGCAGAAATAGTACAAACACTGCAACCAAATTGTTGTTTTGCAATATGTCCATCAATTAACCAAGACATAACTCCATATCTGCAGGCATGTGAACTCTGATAACTTCTGTTTCTTGATGTTAAGCCTTTAGTCAGTTTACCTTTAACTGTCTGACATTTAAATGACAAAATAAAGCATATGTTCATGTTGCTCTGCATGGATAAAAAGGATCAGACTCAGCTGGCAATGAATCTCTGAGACTAAAGGGTTTTCATAAAGCGGTAAAAAAAAACAAAAAAAAAAACATATTAAGTTATGAAATATATTTAAATTATAACTTAAAAATGCAAACACTGTCACAGAAAAACAACCTACTTACAACTGCACAAGTTGTTGAATTAGGTTGTGAACATAAATCAGGCATCCACTAAAAAGTATAGTGGGTATGCCTTCTCAGCCAACAAAAACATATTACAGAACTAAATCTTGGGAGTATGAAAATGTAAACCCTGCAAATGTCCCACAGATTTTTTAACAAGATTGTAAGAGACTTTGGAAGTGTGTTTGTGTTTCTTTACAGTTTACTTAATAGGACCAAAGAAATAATCCAACCAGTGATCATTGCTCATCATATCCAGAAATAGCACAGCCGCTTTGGTTTATGCTTAAAGAGACGAAGGAGCAAGCTTAAAAGCTTCTTTGGCCAGCCAGAACTGGCTACTAACAGCATTAACAAACTCCACGGAGTGGTCGAGAGGATGTCTTATCGGTCCATAAATGCACCTGCATTAGCTAAATGAACAGCAGCACTATCAGACTGCTTAATGGGGGAAAGAAATTCTGTACCCAGCCTGTGTTAATTTGTTACATAATGTGAGAACATGAACTTATACAATTTTATTGATTGTGACACTACTTAATGGTCTCTTAGCCTCTCAAATTGTGCTCTTAACTTAATTCCTGAAAATATCAATAAATGCTACTTACAAATAAGTTGTAGGTATATTCAAGGTTCCGGTCTCTTAATGTACACGTAGTTAAGGTTTGATGTTAAATTCTTTTTAAATAAAAAACTGCCCGGTTTCCCACCATCTCATATTTCTGTGAACCTATGATTTTAGGTCTAAAATCAGAACATAGCGATAGGTAAATTGGTGAAGAAGAGTCAATTACATGAGTTGAACAAAGTCATTCCCATCTACATAGAAGCATATAGGCAGCCATTTTTAGACATAAGTCTCACATGTGTCTCACAGAACAGATCCATCAGTCTTAACTAATACCACTGTCTACAACGCCCACATGACAGCTTGCACTTCGCAGTGCTGTGGTTTAACGGATCAAGTACTACATTCAGAGCGGTTTGAGGCTCTTCCTGTTGTGCTGCTAATGTGCCGTTTTCACTAAGCAGCTGCCGTAGTAAGCAGTCTTCATAATGATTGTAAATAAAGTATTTGGGGTATAATTTATACTTGGAATATGCACTTTAACTTAGCTTCTGATATCTGCAAATCACAAAGCTTTAACCTCCATGTATGTTTGTAGTTGACACATTATTGGCTCAGATTAGTGTGTGATGCACACAAACCCAGCCTACAACAGCAGACTAGCAAACACAGTTGTGCTGGTAAGTAAGTGAAAAAACAGAATCTAGCTTAATTATAATAAGCTATTATAGTTGTTATTAGCTAAAAACCACACATACAACTTCTTACTAAATAGTTAGCTATTCTAGACTATATCTGAATGCTACTGCAAATTCTTTGTATAATGACACAATCTGCACTAGAGGTTGCTTCAGACCGATTCAGTTTAGCATGTCAAATATGAATACTTTACCCAAATTAGAAATAAATGAATTAAGTAAAACAGGTTATCCACTCACCCTAATGTCAGTCAAAACTTAAATGACAGTTGTATGTCAATGAGATTTAAGTCTTCAGAGTTCAAAAAGGTTAAGAATTATTCTATAACTTGCTTTAAAACTACTTATGCAATTATTTGTCTATTAATAGTTATAATAATCACCATCAGATTGTTTCAAGGCTATAGCAATGACATAATTCCAATTATTATTTCTATTAAGTTTTTATGGGTAACACTGCAAACAACTGACCACACGCTGCGTTTGACAGTCTGGGTTATCCAATTTATTTATTAAAATATCAATTCCAAAACTGACAAAAACATTTATCGTTTACCCTCTGCCTGGTACCACAAAGTCAGTGGTACAGAATCATGACTAGTATTTGTTGTTTACTGATGGATCATTAGTACCTTTAGTTTATGTGACTTCCATTCTCCCAGTTAATTTAATTGAGACAAAACAGGTGTGTTTTGTTTTGCATATCATTAGAGACACACACACACACACACACACACACACACACACACATCAAAGGGCTGGGAAGCTTCACTAGTGCAAACCACTTGAATCATTACCTTGACAACAAATGCATTCACAGACACATTCAACATATTACTGAGCACATATCAAAGCCATGTGCACAATCACCAAACCAAATCATGTGCTCTTTCACCTGTGCAGCAACCACACATACACATATCAGTGTTTTCCACAGAATGACTACCTGGGCGGGCGGGCGGGCGTGGAGGGAGGCTACTATTTCTAGTGGTTTAGGTTGTTTCTTCTTGAACCATTTTAATTCTACATCATTCGCCACCATTATTTTAGTGTACCCCCGTTGCCAAAATGATACAGAACTTGCAATTTCCACCCGCGTTTTCAGCTGCAGGTGCACTACATGCGGGGGAGGCTTGTTAATGAAGAAGCTTATCAAAACAAAACCAAAGTGGTACCAAGTGACATCTGCACCAGTGTGTTCACTGTTGTTTAACCTGGATTGTGCTTGTAAAATATCCACCGTGTCCACATCTTATAACGTATTAGATAGGCTTTACTTGGGCGGCCTGCCTATGTGTGGGAAACACTGCACCCTAGGGCTTTGACTATACTGGAATTTCTCATTTTGATACAATTTATTGAAAAATATTGATATTATATAGACTCATTACATGCAAAGTGAGATATTTCAAGCCTTTATTGATATAATTTTGATTATTATTGCGTACAGCTTATGAAAACCCCAAATTCAAAATCTCAGAAAATTAGAATATTGTGAAAAGGTTCAGTATTGTAGGCTCAAAGTGTCACACTCTAATCAGCTAACTAATCCAAAACACCTGCAAAGGGTTCTTGAGCCTTTAATTGGTCTCTGTCTGTTTCAGTGGAATTCACAATCATGGGGAAGACTGCTGACCTGACAGTTGTGCAGAAAACCATCACTGACACCCTCCACAAGGAGGGAAAGCCTCAAAAAGGTAACTGAGAACATCCAACTTCTTTTGCAAAGTGCTGTATCAAGGCACATTAATGGAAAGTTAAGTGGAAGGGAAGAGTATGGAAGAAAAAGGTGCACAAGCAGCAGAGATGACCGTAGCCTGAGAGGATTTTCAGGTAAAGGCCATTCAAATGTGTGGGGGAGCTTCACAAGGAGTGGACTGAGGCTGGAGTTACTGCATCAAGAGCCACCACACACAGACGGGTCCTGGACATGGGCTTCAAATGTCGTATTCCTCTTGTCAAGCCGCTCCTGAACAACAAACAACGTCAGAAGCGTCTTACCTGGTCTGTTTCTCGCTGTGCTTTATTAAGTCCAGAGTCTACCAGGACATTTTAGAGCACTTTATGCTTCTTTCAGCAGATGAGCTTTATGGAGATGCTGACTTCATTTTCCAGCAGGACTTGGCACCTGCCCACACTGCCAAAAGTACCAAAACCTGGTTCAATGACCATGGGATTACTGTGCTTGATTGGCCAGCAAACTCGCCTGACCTGAACCCCATAGAGAATCTATGGGGCATTGCCAAGAGAAAGATGAAAGACATGAGACCAAACAATGCAGATTTTGAAGCATCGCTACAAAATAACAACGCTATTGGACCTGGTCTTCCATAACACCTCAGCAGTGCCACAGGCTGATAGCATCCATGCCACGCCGC